CTCACAATCTCCTTTCCCTTCCCCTCCCCACAGCAGACACCCTGTGAGGTAAAAAGGAGAAGAAATTGGATTTATACCCCGCCCTTCACTACCCAAAGGAGTCTCAGAGCGGCTCACAAACTCCTTTCCCTTCCCCTCCCCACAACAGACACCCTGTGAGGCAGGTGGGGCTGAGAGAGCTGTGACAGAAACTGCTCTTGAAGAAGAAGAGATTGGATTGATACCCCGCCCTTCACTACCCAAGGGAGTCTCAGGGAGGCTTACAAACTCCTTTCCCTTCCTCTCCCCACAACAGACACCCTGTAAGGTAAAAGAAGAAAAATAGATTGGATTCATACCCCGCCCTTCACTACCTAAAGGAGTCTCAGAGCGGGTTTACAACTCCCTCCCCTTCCCCTCCCCACAACAGACACCCTGTGAGGTGGGTGGGGCTGAGAGAACTGACACAAACTGCTCTTTTTCAAGGACAGCTGTGCCAGAGCTTGTGACTGACCCAAGGTCATATCAGCAGGTGCAAGTGGAAGAGTGGGGAATCAAACCCGGTTCTCCCAGATTAGGCACTTAACCACTACACCAAACTGGCTCTTCTATACCAAAAGGTCCCAGGTTCGGCCCCCTGCATCTCCAGTTGAAATGGCCAGGCACTAGATAGCTTTGGTCTGAGATCCTGGAGAGCAGCTGCCAATCTGAGTGGACAATACTGGCTCTGATGGACCGAGGGTCTGAACCTGTATGAGGCAGCTTCGTGTGTTTTTCTAAGCCACAGGAAGATCCCTCTCCCGCTATATAGACATAGGAATGCGGTGTTTGTTAGGTGCTGTCAAGCCCCTGTGAATTAAGGACGTCCAAAACATTCTGTTGTGAACAGCCGTGCTCAGGTCTTGAAAACTGAAGGCCCTCGTGGCTTCCTTGACTGAGTCAGCCCACCTCATGTTGGGTCTTCTTTTCCTGGTGCCTTCCATGTTTCCTATTATTGTCTTTTCCAGTGACTCCTCTCATAAGAGAGCCAGTTTGGTGTCGTGGTGAAGTGCGCGGACTCTAATCTGGGAGAACCGGGCTTGATTCCCCACTCCTCCACTCGCAGCTGGTTGGCTACTACTAAAAGAAATTGAACAGTGTTCAGGAGAGCAGCACCAACAAAATTCAGGAGGCTGTTTTGAAACCTATGGGCTTGCTCCACTTGTAAACACTTGGTATGATCCAGAAGTAAGTTTTCTAAATTTTGAAATTAATCATTAAGGTATTATGGTTTGAAACAATTAATTTCCATGTAGCTACTTTTGAATTTGCATTTACCTTGGTTTTTCCAGGACACTATGAAGAAATTTACTGCATTAAACTGGATTAAGATGCTGACCTCGCCCTTCAGTATAAAATTACATCTGAGGAAGACTGTATGGTTGAAATGAGTTTATACCGGATACTCATTATGTAGAACTACACTGAACCTGTTGTTCACAATATTGTGCAATTGATAAAACTTTTTGTAATTTTATAAGTCTTGAAAGTAATATAAATCTTTGGATATGTTTATATCACAGGATTGCTTATGTGTTTTTCCTGCTGGATGACCTTGGGCAAGCCATAGTTCTGTCAGAGCTGAAAGGGCAGTTTCTGTCAGAGCTCTCTCAGCCCCGCCTACCTCACAGGGTGTCTGTTGTGGGGAGGGGGAGGGAAAGGAGATTGTAAGCCGCTCTGAGACTCCTTTGGGTAGTGAAGGGCAGGGTATAAATCCAATCTCTTCTTCTTCTTCTTTTACCTCACAGGGTGTCTGTTGTGGGGAGGGGAAGGGAAAGGAGTTTGTAAGCCGCTCTGAGACTCCTTTGGGTAGTGAAGGGCGGGGTATAAATCCAATCTCTTCTCCTTCTTCTTTTACCTCACAGGGTGTCTGTTGTGGGGAGGGGGAGGGAAAGGAGATTGTAAGCCGCTCTGAGACTCCTTTGGGTAGTGAAGGGTGGGGTATAAATCCAATCTCTTCTCCTTCTTCTTTTACCTCACAGGGTGTCTGTTGTGGGGAGGGGAAGGGAAAGGAGTTTGTAAGCCGCTCTGAGACTCCTTTGGGTAGTGAAGGGCGGGGTATAAATCCAATCTCTTCTTCTTCTTCATAATGTGACCAAAGTACGATGGCCTCAGTTTGGTCTTTTTAGCTTCAGGCTTGATTTGATCTAGGGCCCACTGATTTGTCTTTTTGGTGCTGCATGGTATCCGTAAAACTCTCCTCCAACACCACATTTCAAAGGGATCAGGTTTCCTCATTGTCCAACTTTCACACCTGCACATAATAATGTGGAATACCACGCTTATGAATTATCTTTAAACTGAAGCATATGCGACTGGGAAAGACTTACAGGGCAGGAGGAATTCTTAATTGAGAATCTACTAATTTTCTATACTTCCGAGGAAATGGCAAGAGTTAGGCTGCGTGTATTCAGGGGGAGACATCCACTATTTGTGTAAGTCAGAAGTAGCTCAGGTCATTTTTCATTCAGGGTTTCTACCCTGGCACAGTGTGTACAATTAAAATGTCTGTGCTACGGTCAGCGGAATGGGACCTGGGGTCTTCTTTTCCAGCCTCCAGGTTTTAGTGTGGAGAATTAAAGGCGTCGTCGGGTATTTTTGGGTCACGCAGGCACCTGGATTTAGTGCCTCACTGCATTGCAATTTTGATAGCACACTGGCTAAACAGAGTCTTGAATGGGCAGGTGTAAAGCCTGACAAGAGAGAGAAGCAAGGAATGTGAAAATGGTCACTGCTAGGTGAACGCGGCCACTCTCGTTTGGACTTGCACTGGCACACGGACAAGACGTTCCTTTGCGCCAAAGGCGATTTTCTGAGCGCAACATTCAGCTCTTTACTTCACATTATTTTTTACTTTTTAAAAAAGAAACCCCGCTCTTCATCCCAGCAACAATTTTAAGATGTCCTTCAAAGTGACTTGGTAATTCAACTGAATGTCCTTTTTGAAATAGCAGCTGGCATTTTAAACCAGTTTTTTTTTGGGGGGGGGAATCTTATGGACTGTTTCTAAAGTATTTAAGGTTCCGTGTGCCTCGGCATTTAGAAACGTCCTCGGACAGCACTGGCTCTTCAGCTTGGATACGGAGATGAGCACCACCCCCTAGAGTCAGATTTCAAGCAAAGGGAAACCTTTACTTTTAATGCAGTCTTGAGGTGTATCAACAGAGGCATAACATCCAAGTCACAAGATCATAGTCCCACTGTACACTGCATTGGTCAGGCCGCACCTGGAGTCCTATGTGCAGTTCTGGAGACCTCACTTCAAAAAGGATGTGGACGGAATGGAGCGGGTGCAGAGGAGAGAGACGAGGATGCTCAGGGGCCTGGAGACCATGAAGCCACGTGAGGAAAGGCTGAGGGACTCCAGAATGTTCAGTCTGAGAGCAGGTTGAGGGGGGACAGGATGGCTCCCTTGAAGTATCTGAAGGGCTGTCCCTTAGAGGAAGGCAGGGAGCTGTTCCGGCTGGCAGCAGAGGAGAGGACTTACAATCATGGGTTGAAATTAAGGACGGGAAGGTCCCAGCTGGATCTTGGGGAAAACGTTTTGACGAGTTGTGCAACAGTGGAATTGACTGCCTCGGGAGGTGGCGAGCTCCCCCTCACTGGCAGTCTCCGAGCAGCAGCTGGATGAGCCCTGCTTAGCTTCCAAGAGTTGGAAGTGAAGAGCTGGACGCTGTCCCCTGCCTCAGCCTCCAGACTATGTGGCAAGAGAGTCTCCCTCCACTCTCCCTTTGAGAAGTACAATACTCCTGACAGGGAACTTCCTTCCTTCCTCCTCTCCCACAACACACTTCTTCTTGCACACACCAAGAGGGAGGACGCACTGGCACCATGAAGCAGATGGTCCTCTCGCCATCCATAGTAAGTTAGTCTAGTATATTTTCCTATCTCTACGCTTTCCCATATAGAATGTAGTTCCTAAATAGAGACTATTATTAGTCTTCAGACTGATGAGTGGCTCTGTGTGACACTGTAACTCTGCTAAAGTAATCTGGGAACTGGACTAACTATACCAGACATCCCAATACCAAGATCTGATGAGATCAGGCTAATTTGTGATGCTTCTGCATATGACGTTTTCAGTATTTTGCTGCTGATTCTGAGATGGCACATAATGTGCCAAATGAACAATAATTTTTTTAATGTGGCACCCAAGCTTCATGAAGCAGCACATAGAGCTTTAAGCAGTTTCTCCAAACAGCTGTCAGTGAGAGTTATCTTCGACTTGTGCTGGTTGCCCCCACGGCAGCCAAAGTAAAAACTGCACCCACAGAAAATGTTTCGCTGCCAGTCGTGGGGTGGGGGCTTTAAAGTCTTGATGGCATTTAGAGGAATTCCATGGTTACACAGCCAGCAGTGACCATCTGGGGTGAGTGGTGGTTAAATACCTTTCACTGGATTTCCCTTTTTCTGACACTCGCCATATCTCAGTGGTTAAACGTGTGTCAAAAGCTCAGCTTGCCAGTCTCCCTTTGAAGTGCACATCTGTAGCTACAGATGTCAACTTGATTCTTCTGGAACAGAAGGAGGGACTGTAGAAACGTGCAGGTGAGTGATGTGCAGCAGATCCTTTGCTAGCAAAAGTGAGGTGTGTTATACGGGGAAAATGCTAGCCAGTGTTAGTAAAGTTGCCAACCTCCAGGTGGTGCCTGGAGATCTCCCGCAATTACAATTGATCTCCAGATGTCCAAGATCAGTTCCCCCTGGATAAAATGGCTGATTGGAGGGTGGACTCTATGGCATTGTACCCTGCTGAAGCCCCTCCCCAAACCCCACCCTCCTCAGGCTCCAACCCCCCCCCCCAAATCTCCAGGTATTTTGCAATCTTAAATATCATCCAATGAGAGGTCTCCTCTTTTCTTATGTGGTTTTGGAGGACAGGCCAAAGAATGGGGCACCTAGTTTGAAGTTAACAAATGGTCCTTGCAGCTTTTGCTTGTGAGGTGAGAAATACATGGCTGGACTCAGAAAAGCAAGTCTGTTCTTTAATGGCACAAGCAAATGCCATCCCATGAAATTCTAAAATTATATTCCCCAAGCAGCAGTCTGAACATTGCTGAAGCAATATTAGTGTCCATCTTCCAGTCCACACATCAGTTCTGTTGAGTCTACTGAACATTAAAATGCCTGCGTATGAGTGGAATCACTTCATCCCACATGACAGCCACCAAGACAGACCCTGAAATGACAAAAGTAAAAAGGGTTTTTTAAGGAAATACCTGATGACTGCACAATGGAGAATCGTCTCTAAACAGCCTGCATGGGATTGTGTTTGAGACTGTGTCAGCCTTCCTGCGTGGTATATATATATATACACACAGGCTGATTTCACATACATGTTGGATCATGCACTTTCAATGTGCTTTAGCAATCCTTTGCAGCCGGAATCTCCTGTGCGAAACAGGAAAATCTACTTGCAAACAATTGCTAAAGTGCACTGAAAGCCCATTACCCAGCCTTTGTGAAACTTAAGCCTCCTGCCATGAGTTCAGCTGTATGCCAAGAACAGGAAGCGTTCTCAGAGTCGGGGACCTGTTAACAGCTTGGAGGGGCTAATCCCAATCAGCTGCAAAGCTCACAGGGTTCTTGGAGGCCGAGCCATTAGAATAAGCATATGGGAAAACGGTGTGGCGGCTGAACCAGTTGGGCCTCAAAAACCCTGCCAGTGCAACTAATACAAAACAAGAGCTTGGACAATTCTCTCATTGCGATCACCACTCTGGCAGCTGTTCAGGATTTCTCACCACCGAACCTTGTCCTTGCACTGATTCACCAAGCACAAAAATGCTGTTTAATATCAACACTTGTTGCCGTGAAGGCTACACATATGCACCAAGGCGGGGGGGGGGAGTGTCAGCCACCTTTGTTTTACATAAGACTCGATGATAAGAGAGTAATTTCCAAACAGTGGCCCACTGGTGTGTCTCCAGGACGCTCTGAAGCCAATTTCAGTGCAGAGGCCTGAGAGGTCGGGTGAGAAGCAAAAGTCTTGAAAAAAGGTGAGCACCTAAAGGTGGGGTAGCAGCAAAGTTTGAGTCCAGTGGCACCTTTAAGACCAACAAAGTTTAATTCTGGCTATAAGCTCGAAGACAAGCATAAACTTACCTATGCAGGGTGCTACCCAGTACACCAATGTGTAATTCCAGAATTTTTCCAGAAAACAACTCAAGTGCAAAGAGAAAGCCAGAGCTGGGTTAAATATCGCCCCTGTGAGATGCCCTCCTGTAAAAACAAACCAACAAACGCATCATTTTTGTGTCTCAGATTATCCATCTGACTTTAAAACCCTATGAGATAGTAGAGTCGATATCTTAACAGTTAATAATACCAGACAGTATTAAAGACCTGATGCTGCTAGTAGAACTGATTTATCAACAGTGGCAAAGAGCAAGAGTCCAGGAGCACCTTGAAGACTAAGATTTTTGGCAGGGCGTGAGCTTTCTTGAGTCACTGCTGAAGACGTGAGCCGTGACTCACAAAAGCTCCTCCCCTGCCACAAATGTTGTTAGTCTTGAAGGTGCTCCTGGACTCTTGCTCTTTTCTACTGCTAGTACGGACAGACTAACATGGCTACCCATCTTGATCTATCTCCATGGAAGGCATCATACTTAGCCCTACAGAATGAAAACCCATCAACCTTGTAATACTAAAACAGATGGACTCACATTCTAGCTGTATCTGAGGAAGTGAGCAGTGACTCCCAAAAGCTCCTACCCTGCCACCAATTAGGGTTAGTCTTTAAAATGTTCCTGGACTCTTGCTCTTTTCTATTGCTACAGACGGACTAATACGGCTACCCATCTGGAACAATCTCCATGGAAGGCGCCACATTTAGCCATACAGAATGGACATCCATCAGTCTTATGATATTAGGACAGATGGACTCACATTTTAGCTGTATCTGAGGAAGTGAGCAGTGAGTCACGAAAGCTCCCTCCCCGTTGCAAATTTTGTTAGTCTTTAAAGTCTTTAAAGTGCTCTTGGACGCCTGCTCTTTTCTGCTGCTACAGACAGACTGACACGGCTACCCAGTTTACGCCGACTGTGAACATGCGAAGCTGCCTTCTGCTGAATCAGGCCATTGGGACAGTCATAGGGGGGAAAGCAAATTCCATGCTGAAGGTCATTAGGAAAAGGGCTGAAAATAAAACAGCCAATATTATAATGCCCCTATGCAAGCTTGTGATGTGGCCTTATTTGGAATACTGTGGACAGTTCTGGTCACTGTCTCTTCAAAAGGATATTGCAATGCAAAATAAAGGAGAAGTGCAGGCGGGATTACACCATTGCGACCGCTTCCTCGAAAACTAAACCAGTACGTCAGGATCAGATCGATATACTTTGTATACAGAAGCTGCTCTGAAGCCTCTGAACAAATTCCCAGCGGGCTCAGATTCCAAAGGTGAGGGTGAATCTCTGTGGAGGGTTTCCCAGAACTGCACTGTTTGCTTCTGGTGACATTCAGCCCTCTGAATGGAGATCAGGAAGAGCAGGTGGAACATTTATAAGGCAAACCTACTGCATGCCTCCCCTCAAGTGCCTCTGTTAGGTACAGGGCTGCCATTCCCATTTTACTCATGGGAAACTGAGTCTGAGCAGCAGTGCCTTGCTCAAGGTTGTTCTGTGAATCAGGGATCTGGCATCAAGTCTCCTAGGCCCAAGTTCAAAGCCTTAGACTGAACCACGTTGATTCACACACCAAGGTCAATGTACTGTAGCGATTAGCATAAGCTATGGACTGGGTAGGCTGCCCTGAACACACACCAAAGCTTACTTATACTAAATCAGGTCACTGGTCCATCCAGGTCAATATTGCCTACTCAGCCTGGCAGCAGCTCTCCAGGGTCTTAGGCAGAGGTCTTTCACATCACCGACAGCCAGATCCTTTAATTGGATCAGGCCAAAGGATTGAACCTGGGACCTTCTGCATGCGAAACAGATACTCTGCCTCTGAGCCACAACCCTTCCCTTTAACATGAAGCTGCCTTATACTGAATCTGGCCATTGGTCCATCAAGGTCAGTATTGTCTACTCAGACTGGCAGCAGCTCTCCAGGTTCCCAGACGGGGGTCTTTCGCATCACCTCCTGCCTGGTCCTTTTAACTGGAGATGCCGGGGATTGAGCCTGGGACCTTCTGGATGCCAGAGGCTCTGCCACTGAGCCCTCTCCATGGTTCTCCAGGGTCTCAGGCAGAGGTCTTTCACAGCCCCTCCTGCCTGGTCCTTTTAACTGGAGATGCCAGGGATTGAACCTGGGATCTTCTGGATGCCAAGCAGATGCTCTGCCACTGAGCCACAGCCCCTCTCCATGGCTCTCCAGGGTCTCAGGCAGAGGTCTTTCACATCACCTACTGCCTGATCCTTTTAACTGGAAATGCCGGGGATTGAGCCTGGGACCTTCTACATGCCAAGCAGATGCTCTACCACTGAGCCACAGCCCCTCTCCATGGCTCTCCAAGGTCTCAGGTGGAGGTCTTTCACATCACCTCCTACCTCTGAGCCATGGCACTTCCTCACTTCTCTGTAAAAGCTCCAATGCTTCATTATCGTGGCTTGGCAACTTTCCATACTTAATTGAACGACAGCAGTTGGACTTTGCTTCCTGCAGTTAACGTCTGCAGTCCACACTGCTGTTTTCAAACATCTCAGTATGACTGTCACAGTTGAAATAGACCATGAAATGTAAATGGATGATTAGCGAGGTGTGCTGAAAGTCCCAAATGGCCGCAAAACCACGATCGGCCACTGCACAGTGGTCATTCAGGGACAGTTCCTTCTTGCCTTAATTGAACTGACTGCCCTATGGAGCTAATGATTGAACACAATTAGGAAAACTCTGATTTGTAAACGCAAGTTAGGGAGGAAAAACCAGCCTATTGGTCTGGATCATAAACTTACTCCCGCAAGAGGTAAGTGGACATGGATTTAATTTCAAAACCTAAACACTCTTTTTTTAAAAACACACAGTATTTCTTTAAAGTATTCTCATAGCAACAGAAAGGCCCTAAAACACACACACACACCTTCAGGTTGCAAGGAAGGAATTACTAAATGTTTACTCAGTCAGATCCACGAACACCATCTGCCTGTGTGCCAAGCAGACTGAAACAATAGGGATTAGCACTGAATTCTCAGAAATATCAGTGTCGGTCTTTCCACATTTGCAATTTTCTAAGACACTGCGGTTTGAGGCAGGGAATTTCCAGCGATTTATTCCGGTTTCTGCCTGCCTGAAAGGTAAGAATGCAGACCTCGGGGAGAAAGTTTGCAGAATCTTGGCTCGGAGCAATTTTGGTCTTGATGCAGAACAGCAAAGGGTGTTCTAGGCTATCTTGCCTGGATGGTCGCTCTTCTTTTTGTCTTAAACCAATAGTTGACCACTTAAGAACATAAGAGAAGCCAGTGTTGGATCAAGCCAATGGCCCATCCAGTCCAACACAGTGGCCAAAAATACCAGGCGCCATCAGGAGGTCCAGCAGTGGGGCCAGGACACTAGAAGCCTTCCCACTGTTGCCCCCTCCCCCAAGCACCAAGAATACAGAGCATCTCTTGCCCCAGACCGAGAGTTCCTATCTATACCTTGTGGCCAATAGCCACTGATGGACCTCTGCTCCTTATGCTTATCTAATTCCCTCTTGAAGCTGTCCATGCTTGTAGCCGCCACCGCTTCCTGTGGCAGTGAATTCCATGTGTTAATCTCTCTTTGGGTGAAGAAGGACTTCCTTTTATCCGTTCTGACCCGACCGCTCAGCAATTTCATGGAGTGCCCACGAGTTCTTGTATTGTGAGAAAGGGAGAAAAGTACCTCTTTCTCTACCTGTTCTATCCCACGCATAATCCTGTAAGCCTCGATCATGTCACCCCTCAGCCATCGTTTCTCCAAGCTAAAGCGCCCCAAGCGCTTTAACCTTTCTTTATGGGGGAAGTGTTTCGACCCTTTTATCATCCTAGTTGCCCTTTTCTGCACTTCTTTCCACTTGCTGGCAGAGGCCTCAGGGCTCTGCTCTTTATGGCTCTCCTGTCCCAGAAAGACTGAGCCTCCGAGGGCTGAGCAGCGTGGTAGTGGCGGCAGAAGGTGCCATCAAGTCACAGCTGACTTATGGCGACCCCTCTGCAAATAATCCTTGCATGTGTTTGGCTTTTCTCTTCAACCAAGTGGGTGCTAGGCTAGCCTCCACATGCAGCCTACATGTTAACATCTCAATGAAGCTTGCTCATAAGAACAAAAGAGACGCCAATGTTGGATCATGCCAAAGGCCGATCCAGTCCAACACTCTGTGTCACACAGTGGCCAGAAATACCAGGTGCCACCAGGAGGTCCACCAGGAGGTCCACCAGTGGAGCCAGGACATTAGAAGCCCTCCCACTGTTGACCCCCCCCCCCCAAGCACCAAGAAGACAGAGCATCACTTGCCCCAGAGCCCCTATCTATACTTTGTGGCTAATAGCCACTCATCCATGGGGTATTCCATCCCCAGAGCTCCAGCTCTGATATCATCTCAGCAACGTATGAAAAAGAAAACTTTTTGCCATTTAATGTTTGAGTCCTTACAGCATGGCAACGTGTTTGAACGATGCTGCTTTTGACTTCAAAATAACAGACTTTTGGAACCTCAGTCTCATTGGCTGAACTAGCCCTCTTTGCTGAATGCGAAAGTCCCACAGGTTGCTGTCCTCAACAACATCTGCCAGTCTGCTTTGTGTGTGATTTCGGGACACTTAACTTCTTGTTAGCATCACGTGGTGCCAACAGAGACAAAGGGGACTGACACATGCTTTCCTCTTGCGTGTCGTCAGATGCCAGCAATGCTTTGCAATTGCGTACTTGAATGAACTTAGTGAAAGACAAACTGGACTGGCCTGTGATTGCAATAGAAGAGCTGGCAATCCAAGCACATGCTTCTGGGAGGAGAGGGAGGACTTACGTGAATGACTGAGCATATATTCGGCCAGTCTGCTCAGCATAAAAGGAGAACAGTAAAGCTACTGTGTTACAAACTTCAATGTAATGTCTTCACACAGTTCAAAGCAACGTGCGGACTAAAAACGCATCAATGACAACAGACAGCCGACCACAAAAGACCTTGCCTACATGCTAGCAGTGATCAGGATGTTTTTCAAACCCTCTGTGGCCAGATGAAGCTCTGTAAGGGTGGGCAGAATGTGTGTTTTGTAGTAGATAGAGAAGGTCTCACTCTCTCTGCTCAAGAGCACTCTCAAGTTTACTTTCTCTTTCCCATTTATTTGGGAACTGATCTCTATAGTTGGGAAATCCATTGTGGTTCCTGGACAGCTGCTGCCCTTACTGCTGCTGGGGGGGGGGGGAAGCAGGTGGGCGTCTGGGAGAGTGATGGGGGCAGAAAGACAGTGATGGGGTGGAGGGCAGAAAGAGAAAGTAAGTGGCGCATAGAAGAGAGAAAGAGAACAGGTGGCGGGAGGGAGAAGGTGTGAGCGGCAGAGAAGCAGGGGGAGAGGGGAGGAAACAAAGGTGGGGGAATGGGACAGCCACTCCCACAAGTTTCTCACGGGTCCCTACTTGTAGCCTTTCAGAACAGCCTTGATTCGAGAAGGCCAACTGAAAGAGAGGCCCTAGACTTTCCAAAATCTAGGGACCTTCTACAACATGCTACTCCCCAGCACTGGTACCATCACAGAGAAAGTTCCCTCTCTTAAAGGTCCTTTCCGCACTTGGATCTCATCCCTGGTTTTATCAGAGTTCAACTCACGACACAATACCTTGCGTTTATCCCTGGTTATAACAGCATCCGTTTATCCCGGGACAAGTGTGGGGCAAAACCAGGGTGACCTCAAAGTAATGTGGAAACAAAAAATCCCCCGAGATAATTACAGGGGTGAACTCGAGTGTAGTGCAGAACGTAAGTTCGGGGACAAGGCTGAACCAGGATTTAAGGTCTAGTGTGGAATCACACATACACTCCATTCAGGAATCTGCTTAGATTGTTGAGGAATTTGGTACCACCTTTTCTGCTCTTGCTTATGCTTCCTGTTGAGCATTAAAATGCTGCACTGGATTTATTGAAAGTTCCCACATGGACACAGCCCCTTAAGAGTGTAAATGTTTTTGCAAGGATTGAGTAGTCCAGGGATCCCCGACCTTCTTGACCCTGTGGGCACCTTTGGGATTCTGACAAAGGGCAATGGGTCCAATCACAAAAAGGCTACTGCAGGAGGCAGAGCCAACCGTAAAATGCCAGGGATTGAGGTTATATACACCTCTACAGTAACTCTTGAACATTTCAGGCTGAAGCTCTCTTTAACAGGACACCTTTCAATCTGCACAGCCAATCAGAAGCCCTGTGGGGAAAAGCCTCACCTAACCCTGCCCACTTTCTAACAGCACTTTGGAGGGCTCCACTAAGGGTGTTAGCGAGCTCCATGGTATCCGTGGCCCCCTTGAGTAATCTATCCAAGACTCATAATTCTTGCTTGCCTTCAAACACACCGAATACCAAATTTCCACTTTCCGTTTCCCAAAGGGGTAACACTGAAAATAAATCAGTCAGGGACACTGCAGAGCTCTGGGATGTTTCATTGAGCCTCAGTGCTTTGATAATAAGCCAACGGCACTTTCACACACCCTAAATAGCATACTTTGCAACTGGACTTTACTGTGTGCAATGGCAAAACCCACTTGCAAACAGTCGCTGAAGTGGGTTGAAACTGCATTATTTCACATGTGTGAAAGTGCCCAACATCCATTACGCTTTAGGGAGCTTTTATTTTGCAAACCCCAACCTAAAGGGGTGGAGAAAGTATGCTAGCAAGTTTATAAACCAGCTTAGCATGATGTTTCCAAAGTTTTGGCTCAGGACGTCTTAGATGTTACAACATCCCTTACCTGTGCCTCAAAGACACAAATAAAAAGGTGAAAGAGATAAAGATATGGCTCTGCCAATTCTACATGTCTGTTAACCAAATGCGACCAAGAGATGTCTTCTGCTGTTCCCCCCCCCCCGACTTTAATGTTCAAACAAAAGAAAAATGACCGCAAGGGTTGTCATTGATGAAAATAGGTCTGGTTGAGGGTCCACCTACTTCCAATCCCTTTCGCCTGAAGTTATCTCCTTTTGATCATGTTGTACTATTTATTTTCAGCAACCACCGGCTGACAGTAGGGCCACCTGCCTATAGAACACATTTCAGTCAAGGCCTCTGTTGAGGCTGCATTGTTAGCTATACTAAAGTCCAAACTGAAAAAAAACAGTAGACAGGCAACTGTGTGACAACACCATGGTTAAAAAGTCACTGAATCCTGGTTGGTAGCCTAAGACGACAACAGGGAAGAAGGAAAAGGAGAAAACAGACCTTTGTATACCAAAGCGGTGATCAGCAAAGCAAGGAGATGAATTTTGGTCCTGTGCTCCATTGATTCCAGTTTCAGCACGGCCAGGTGGAACACGAAGGAGAAGAGGAGTTCGAGAAGAAAAGCGTTGGCTACGGTAGTCTGGATCGGGCCGCTGCAATTCTCCCCCAGCGCACTTGAATGCGCCGGTATGGCCCCCAGTGTCCAGATCGACTTGATGTAAACATGGGCCAACACCGCGCCAATGAACTGAGCAGAGCTCTGTAGCGCCCAGGCCTTGACCGTGCTCCTGTTGCTGCAGAAGAGCTGGAAGCTGCTGGAGGGATTGTTGATGCTGCCGGGCAAGGACAGGCAATGGAAGGTGGTGAAGAGATAGACGAGGGCAAGTGCCATCTGAGGCTTGGGCGGCAGGTCGGCCAGCATGCGCAGCTCGTGGGTGCAGGCGCAGATCTGGAAGGCGCCGCTGAGCTCCAGGACAAAGGAGTACAGGTGTGGTTTACGGTGCATAAATTGGTGGGCCAGTCGCCTGCAGCACGCGGTGAGGGCCATGGTCGCCGCCATCACGAGCAGCGAGACGCAGGTGTCGTAGGCAGCCATGGCCCCAAAATTTGAGACTCATGAAGCAGGAAGCGACGGAGTGGCACCGCCCTCTGGTCACTCCGGTTCTTCACCGAGTCCCTTAGGAAGACATTGGTGCTCTGCCCCTTCGGCTTTCTCTGCATGTTAGTGGGAGCTCTGACTCCCTGACCCCACAGGGAGGGCTCGACGGCTCCTCCCCCCCTCCTGCCCTTCATCTGCCCAGTGCCAGTTATGACCCGACAGCACACATCACATTGGAGACTATGGGCCTCTTGACCTTTCACCCTGAGGGGGGGGCTTTCAGCTAGCCCTTGCTAAGATTCCTCTATAGAGTGCAAAGGGGTCTCACCTTTCCTTCTGCCAGCCTGGTTTGTCCTTCACAAGTCTTATGGTCACATCTCCCTGTGTGCCCGCTTACCTTGCCCCATCTGGGGTTTCAGGCTCCCCTTTCCTCCTGCCCAGGGTCCCGCTGCTGGCTAGGGTCACGAGAGGTCTGAGTTGCTCCCAATCCCTGCGCAGTCAGGCCACAGACCTTATCCGAGGAAGGGAGCTTTGGCTCTTGAACACTTATACCTCCCTCCCCCACAATCTCCTTAATCTCCAAGGTGCTCCTGAACTCAAATCCAACTGTCCCCCAAACTGTGGCGGTGTCGCCCTCCTGTCCCGGTGGAGCGCTGCATTTCACAGGTGCGGAGCCCCAGCAGGGGAGGAGGAGGTGCTGAGAGTTCCTTCTCTTTTGGAAGAGACCAGCTCCTTCCCTCTGGCCGGTCCCTGCTCTCCCTCACCTCCTCCCTGGAGTCCGGCGCTCAAGCCATTCGGGTCTCCAAACTCCCTCTTCCGTTTCCCCGTAACTGACAGCCTTCCTGCTCAGCCTTCACCGGGCAGCTGAGCCGCTCCGCTCAAATCCGAGCAAGCAACGGTTCACCTCTCTGCGGAGCCGCCGGACTCTCAGTCTGCAGCGGACTCCTGGAGCGCCGCGCCTTCAGCAGCCAGGCCCAGCCCGCGATCGGAGGGCTACTGAGCTGGGCGGGCGCCGGGACGAGCCGAGCGAGGAGAGAGCCGCTCCCCCCCCCCCCCCCCCCGCCGGAGCCGAGTCGGCGCGGGCAACTCCGCAGGCGCCGAAACGCGGGCGGGCGCGAGGGAATCAGGGCCCTTCCAGGGCCGCGGGAGCAACAGGTCGGCCCCGAGACGGTGACCAAGGACGGGGCGCTGCAGCCAGGAGGGAGAGCTGGCCGGTTCCTCATCCCGCCCTGACTTTGGAGCGCCTCGCCTCGCCGGTTCTGCAGCACAGGCCAGGGAAGTGGCAAGAAACGCAAGGCAGAGACGGAACCGGGATCCTCAACCCCCAGGTGGAGTCGGGGGAGCTCCCGGAATCGCAGCTAGTCTCCAGGCGGCAGAGATCCGTTCTCCTGGAGGAAACGGCTACTGTGGAGGGTAGTCTTGAGCGCTGGGCCCCACTGAAGCCCCTCCTCTCCCCAAATCCCGCCCTCCTCGGGCTCCACCCCCAAAACCTCCAGGGATTTCCCAACCAAGAGTTGGCAACCCTCACCCCCAAAGTAAGACTGTTTAAGCATCCTCCTTTTTCCATTACAGCCCTGAGCTGCTCGTAAATCTTCAGACACGGACTCCAGCAAGAGTGGCCTTTGCCGTAGGCACTACGGCCAAATTGTTTCCACCCCAGAAGGCAGAAATAGACAGACCGGCAGGCCAAACACGTTCCTCTGATTTTCAAGAACTCGGGGAGGGGAGTACAGTATGCCCACCGAAAATGCAGGGCCAAAAATCCCAGCGAGAACCGGTGCCAGCAGCCAACACCAGTCGGGTTGCAATTTAAGCTGTTTCCTGTGGTTACAATCCTGATTTCTGTTCACCTTTTGTTACACACACTCATAGACAGTGTTCCCTCTAAGCTGTGTGTGAGCTAGCTCACAGTTTTTTAGCCTCCAGCTCACACATATTTGTCTTTCCTCAGGAAGGATCATTCCAGAGCAAACTAATTTATGCAGTAGCTGAATTGCTCGCTCACAACTTTAATGCCTGTAGCTCACAAAGTAGAGTTTTTGCTCACAAGACTCCACAGCTTAGAGGGAGCATTGCTCATAGAGTGTATGAAACTACTTTATATGAAGTCTGCAAAGACTACTGGTTTATCTATTGAGACAACATGTATGCCATTAAGTTCAGCTTTGGCTGCTCTGACAGTACTTCTCTGGGATCTTGGGCAAAGCCAAGCCTTCACTTAACACCTGCTACCTTGGTAGTGGTGGGAAGGGCAGTCCAACTGCAGCCAATTTATGTATCTGGCTTTTGTATCTGATGAAGGGAGCTTCGACTCTCGAAAGCTTATACCGCAAAATTCTTGTTGGTCTCTATTCTCTAAGGTGCTACTGGACTCTCATCTCGCTGTTTTATGGACACCCCATAGGGTTTTCAAGGCAAGAGATGACCAGCGGTGGTTTGCCATTGCCTGCCTCTGCAGGGCTGACCCTGCTTAGCTTCCAAAATCTGAGATAAGGCTAGCCTGGGCCCTCCAGATCAGGGGTTCTTGCTACCTTAGATCCTGTAAACTGGAGATTGAGCCTGAGATCTTTTGCATGCAAAGCACGTGGCAGATCACGAGAGGGAGGGCAGGGAGGGATGAGCCAGTGCTCGGTTCTCGTGGCCCTTTCTCACAAGACCAGGGTAATGCCGATTGCCAGTTTGGGGTCAGGAAGGAATTCTCCTCCAAGCCAGATTTGGCCCAGGGACCCTGGAGGTTTTTTGCCTTCCTCCGGGCATAGATCAGGGGTTACTGAGTATTGGCAGGAGGAGGTAGTTGAAAATTTTCTGCATTGTGCAGGGGGTTAGACTAGATGAACCTTGAGATCCCTTCCATTTCTATGTTTCTATTATGTGTTGCAATGGAGTTACAGTCCCTTCCTTGTAACAATAAACTTCTTGTTTTGAATTTCTGCATTGCCTATTATACCTCCTATAAAAGCATCCTGCACCTTTTAGGGCTTGATTACCTTCTCTTTCTTGAACCACTAGGCTGACACAGGTGAGACAGGTGCTGTCTGAAACCTACAAGGGAGAGGAACAACTTTGTTCCAGAAAGCTCACAACCTTTCACCTGGGTGACAGCCAATAAATGCTCTCCTTTCCCCTAGAAACAACACCCTTGTGACATTGGCAGGTGTGATTTTAATCTGCACCCTAGGGCGTAGACTTTCTAGTTTCCCGGGGGGGGGGGAGAGGCATTGCTATGCTAGGTCCTTGAAATGGAAAAAAGGAATGAAGGGAAACAAAGAAAGGGAAAGAAAGAAATGGAAAGACAGCAGAAAGAAAGGAAAAGAAAGGGGGGAAGGGAAAGAAATAGAGAGAGAGACAAAGGGAAGGGAAAGGGTGGGAGGGAAATGATGGGAAAAAGGGAAAGAAGGAAAAGAAAGAAATGGAAAGATAGAAAGGGGAAAGAAAGGGGGGAAGGAAATGAAGGAAAGAAAGAAATGGAAAGAAAACAAGGGCAGAAAGAAATTGAAAGAAAGGGGAAGGGAAAGAAATTGAAAGAAAGGGAAAATGGAAAGAGAAAGAAATAGAAATGGAAAGAAATAAATGGAAAGAAGAGAGAGAGAGAGAGAAAGAAAGAAGACAGAGAGAGAGGTAGGAAGGGGTGGAAATAAGAGGAAAAAGGAAAGAAAGAGAGGTCCCCTCTACTGGTGGGCAGCAATTAGTGCTCAGTTTGGCTTCCCCCTCCCCTTCTAAGCTGGGGGAGGAGCGAAAGGGAGGGCTGAAATGGCCGCCAGCAGCCTCGTGAATCCACCTGTCAGCTGCTGGCTTTAAAGGGCAGGCAGTCATTTCAGCCCTCCCTTTCGCTCCCTCCCATGGGGGGGGGCGAAAAGGAGCCCTGAAAGTGCCCTTTCAGAGCTCCCTTTCACTTTCCCCCACTTCTAAAAGTGGGGAAGCAAGGAGAGCCATGCAAGAGTTTCCCACCCTTTAAAGTCATGCTGGCTTTAAAGGGCCGGCTGCCTCCAGAGCTCCCTTTTGCCCGGGGGAGGCTCAGTCTCCCCTGGGAAATTTCAGGAAGCTCTCGGCCCCTGAGCCCCCCTGTAGTCTATGCCTATGTCTGCGCCCTCATTACGGATCTATTCCAACTCGGCTTGCCGGCTCTGGGTTGGGAAATACCTGGATATTTTGGAGGCAGAGCGTTAGGAGGGCAGGGTTTGGGGAGGGGAGGGGAGGGACTTCAGTGAGGTATAATGCCATAGTAGAGTCTACCTCCCTAAGCGGCTGTTTTCTCTAGGTGAACTGATCCTTGTCACCTGGAGGACACTAGCAGATCTCCAGCCACCAGCTGGAGGTTGGCAACCCTAATTCCAACCCATTTTAAGACTACTAAATATCACAGGCAAGGAAACAAAAGATCACAAATGATAGATGTGAGCATACATAGGAAAGCAACCATACAGCTGAATGATAGATCAAGATGGGTGGCCGTGTTCATCTGTCCGTGGCAGTGGATAAGAGCTAGAGTCCAGCGGCACCTTAAAGACTAGCCAGATTTGTGGCAGGGAGGAGCTTTCGTGAGTCACAGCTCACTTCTTCAGCAGTGACTCATGAAACCTCGTACCCTACCACATATTTTGTTAGTCTTTAAGGTGCTACTGGACTATGGCTCTTTTCTACAGCTGAATGATAGTGTGGGACTTGAAGAGGTAAGAGAGAGAAAAGCAGACCAAAGTCAGTTGGGATAGGAAAGTTGGGGCTGGCCCTTGTTCACCTACTACAACACACCTCCACCTTCGGGGGGCGGGGGCACATTTCAAGCCCAGTAACTGCTTCATATATAATCTTGCCGACAGCAAAGGGAAGATGGGTAACAAACCTGCATATGCCAGGGCAGTCACGGTAGCAGCCAGCGCATTGACCCTGACGCGGAACTCCTGCGACTGGGTGTGCATCACACTCAACTGGACCATAGCAGAGACCACAAGCTCCGTTAGGAAAGCCATGTAAAATGTCATTTGAATGCGGCTGCTACAGTCTGCAGTCTCAGAGGGAGAATCGGCGATCTCCGCTGCCCAGACGCCAGAGAAGAAGAGTGTGGCTAGAAAGGCCCCAATGAACTGAGCCGCAATCTTCAGCTCCCCCAGCCTCACTGAAATGCCCTTCCGCAAGATGCTCAGCAAGGTCCAGGCGGGGTTGCAAGTGTTCTCGGCCAAAGTCAAGTAGAAATGGAGCGTGTGGAAGGAATACGTGTGGGCGAGGTAGAAGTGAGGCTTGGGCTCCACGTCGACCAGCCGGCGCAGCAGGCCAGAGCAGGCGCACAGCTGCCAAGTGGCGAACATCTCCAACAGGAAGAGACGCGCTTCCAGGTGATTCACACGCTTGCGGGTCTGGATCCTGGCCCCGGTTGCCAAAAGGACAATAATAGCCTCCAGCTGGAGCAACAGCCAGGCAGATTCTGTTTGCATGTTTCAGTGCTACCGTGTCCAGGTAATCTATTTCACTCAGGTCCAGGAACGTCCTCCGGTCTTACTTGGTTTCTCTTGCCGTTAAATTATCCTCTCCACTACGGCCTGCTTTTAATGGGAAGCTACAAGCTCTCTCCTCTTGGCAGAAGCTGGGTCAAATCTTCTCCAATTCCTTCATTTATTAAGGAGTTTAAGCACCACCAGGAGTAAACGTTTTCCTATATGCATCCCAGTCTCGTGAGGGCAGCCAGAATTGCTCCTTCTTGCCAAGAATGAAAGGCCGTGTTATTCAGCGGGGTGAAAAACAGCTCTTTAATAAAGGTAATCCTCTTTCTATTTCTGTGCTTCTGACTACGCTAGACCTATCCTCTCCCTCTTATCATGGAGAAATGAGTCAAAACACTTGTCTTCTCAAGGGGACAGAGTAAGGAAATTGACAGCATTCCTGTTTTTTTTTTCCAAAGGCCAAAGTACCCACTTTTTGAATCAAGCCTCCTCCAATTTTTTGGTGGTGGTGGGATCAAAGTACCCCCAAAGAAAGCTAACCCTCCTTGTTTATAAGGCAGGTCAAATCTTCTGTC